AACTTTTTCCATTTCTTTTTATTTATTCTTTCCTTTCAGGATTTTGGTTTAGATTTAGCTTTTTTGCATTGTCTAGATCTCCATTTCCTTCTAGCTTTTTGTCATTTATTTTCTTTTGCTCTTTCCATTTCATTCATCTTCATGGCAAATCAACAATCTCCTCCTTTGACTCTGGAGTAGTAGTTGGTATAATTGCTTAATGCTATGTGCTTGCAATTGAACAACCAAACTCAGTTGATGGTGGCGTTCACAGCATGTGGTACAACTCCTTTTGCTCTTGGTGCCAATCTTCACGTTCGGCCGGAGTTCTTTTGCAGGAATCTTGGGGATGATATGTACCATTGATTCGATCACTTCATGGTGATTGCCACATATCATTCTTAGGATGATGCTCGATATTTGCATGAGTTTCTCACGTGTCTCCAAGGGACGGCATTGTAGTGGTACAATTGTTTGAGTGCAGCCACTCATGGGGATTGGAGTGTTCTCCCGGACGTCTTCAAACGCACATTCGGACATGCCGATGATTGTGATGATGCCTTTCAACAATTGCATCATTTTTGCTAAGGGCCATCTGAGTTGGTGATGCAATTTGGCGTTCATTTCTGCAGTCTTTTGCTTCATATGGAGCCAAATATATCGGAACAAATCAACCTAAGAATGTTGTAGCCAACACTTTATCAAGATCTTGTCGGATTTGTGCATGCACTTGCTCCCGCCACCCTTGATGATGCTCTTCATTTGGCACAATGTTATGAGACGTCGCTTCTTCCACTTCTCGCTGCACATCCTTCAACTCCATTTTCTATGGGTGATGGTCTTGTTCCAATAGAGGTTAATGCTGTTGTTGCTCGATGCCAAGGACAAGGGTGAGGACGTGGTCATGGCCGTGATATTCACTGCTGGGCGTGTAATAAAGTTGGTCATATTTATCGGCGTTGTCAATGTTTTCCAAATTAGCGACCTCCATTTCCTAGGTGGAGACCTTGGCATCAACAATGTCTTGTTGGTGTTGCTGTAGTGGAAGGTCTGGACACCGAAATGCATCCAGAAAATAAGGAGTCGCGTGAGTAATGGAGGGACCTTATGCGAATAAGTCAATGACCCTTCTATCTTTCTTTTAGAAGTATCATTAAGGGGTTCACTTGGCACCGATTCATCCAGTGTTTACTTTCCAAGCTCGTTTTTATAACAAGAGGTCCCCTATTATTCTCTCCGTGTTGGTTGATACAGGTTTGAGTTTATCTTCTATTGCTCGACCTGTTGCCACACATTGCCGTCTACACTTGCGTCATGTGGTGGAACTAGTTTTCATTCTTTATGGCAACAATCACACACATGCATGTGCACGGGATGAGGCGAACCTAGTTGTGTGTGTGGGCAATCTTGAGCTTGGGTTGTAGCTATTGCGAGTAGTACCGAGTCAAGTTTTTTACCTCATCTTTGGTATGGATTAGTTGTATCACAATCATGCCAAATGTGACTTTAAAGTTTCTTTCCTTTGTCTCATACTTCCTTATGTTTCATCCATTTCTCTCACTTTCGTACTTCTTCCTCCCTCTACTTCTACCTCTGCTTCTATTACTTTTGTTCCCCCATATTTCTATTTTGTTCTGCTCTTCCCTTTTCTAATCCCTCCGACAATCTTTGTGTTGCAGCGGTTGACTAACTCATGAAGGAGTATTCTGATATCTTTGAATTTGACCTATTGTCTGGGGCCAAGATTGATACACATCATCCAATTCCAACTGGGGATGCTCATCCAATCAAAGTTCCTGTTCGTCGTCAGTCACCCAAGAAAATCAAAATTTTACGTGCAAACGTCAAGGAGATGTTGGAGAAGGGTGTTATTCAAAAGTCATGGAGTCGTTGGGCATGTGAACCTCATCTTGTGATGAAGTCTAATGAAAGTATTTGTTTCTACATTAACTATTGTCCGTTAAACAAACTGACGATCTCGGATGTGTACCCTCTTCCTCACACTACTGATCTCTTGGATCGTTTGGTGTGAAGTCATTGGTTCACCAAGTTAAATCTTGTTTTTGGGTACTGCCAAGTACCAATGGCCGAAGAAGATATTTCTAAGACTGCTTTTCATAAACCATTTGGTTTGTACGAGTTCTTGGTGATGCCGTTTGGTTTGAACAATGAAACAACAACTTTTCAGAGGATGATGGACGAGGTTCTTTGCGATATGCTAGAGGTGACTGTTGACTTCATTGATTATGTCTTGATCCACTTGGAGGGGACATAGGAGGAGCACGTTTGTGATGTTTGTAAAGTTTTGGATCAGCTACAATACGTTGGTTTAAAATTGAAGCAGTCGAAGTGTGTATTTGGGTCCAAGGACACAACTTATCTTGGGTACTGTATTTCTCGTGAGAGTTTGCAAGTTGATCCTGATAAACTTGTGGTTGTTCTAAAGTTCCCTACTTTGAAGTGTGTGAATGATGTGCAACGCTTTTTGGGCAAGGTGCAGTATCTTAGTCATTTTGTGGATCATTTTTCTGATCGCACTGCACCGTTACGAGCGTTGTTGAAATCATCAACATCATCTTTTATTTGGTCTCCGGATTGTGAGCGGGCGTTCATGGATCTCAAAGAGCTATTGACGACTCCTCTAGTTTTGGCATATCCTGACTACACTTAACTTTTTATTTTGCATGTGGATGCTTCAGATATTAGTCTTGGAGGTGTGTTGATGCAAGAGAGTCCGAGTGTGTCTGGTCAGTGCCCTTCCATTGCGTATATAAGCTGTACATGACAACTAGCAAAGTTGAATTACTCCACAACAGAGAAGAAGTGTTTAGCACCAGTCTGGGGTTTCAAGAAACTTTATGCATATTTACATGGTTCTCGGATGTTACTTGAAGGTGACCATGTTGCTGTTACTTCACTATTGAAATGAAAGAACCTTGTTGGTCATACTGCTTGGGCTTTAAAGCTTCAGATATATGATTTTGATGTTGTTCATCACCCAGGGAGTTCTTTGGCTGATGTTGATGCCCTTTCTCGAGCTCCTCTTCCTTCTCCACTCTCTTCTCATATTTTTGACAAGCCTATTATTCCAGCATCTGTGGATTTTCTAAACGAGGATTCTGTGTTGTCGGCGATTGTTGTACTTGATGTTTAGTGTCCACAAGGCACAGAGCAAGGTCTACCTTTTCTTGATGAGGTTTGTGAGGCTCAAAAAATTGAGCCGTGGATTCAAAGGCTTCGAGATGGGTTTGAGAATCCTGCATCACTTGCTGATGACTTGTCTTTCTGATATTTACATTCTCAATATTGCCTTGAAGACGGCCTTTTTTATTTTGTGGGGATGGATCCTAATGATCATTTACGGGTGGTGGTGCCATCTATCTTTATTCCGCGGTTTCTCAATGCCTACCATGATTCTCCTATTCTATGTGGGCATATGGGACATCATCATATGACGGAGAAGCTGAGCAGGTCTTTCTATTGGCCGGAGATGCAATGTGATATTATTCAATATGTGCGTAGCTACGTTTGGTGCCAAGCTCGTAATACCCCCCCCTCATGCTATAGAAAGACTGTTGGAGTCAATTGCAATTTCCCATCCGTTTGAGTTGGTGGCATTTGATCTTATGGGACCTTTTCCATAGTCGACTACTAGCAATGAGTATGTTATTATTGCTTATGACTACTTGACTCATTGGGTGGAAGTTGGTGCTCTTGCTAGCACCTTTGCAACTACTGTTGGATATTTCCTCCTCAATTGAGTAGTGTTCCAGCATTCTTGTCTAAAGCGGATTCTTTCGGATAATAGTCCTGCATTTATGGCTGAGGCATTTCATGTTTTGACATCTCAGTTGGGGATATGCCACACTTTCATGAGTGCTTATCATTCACAATCAGATGGTCTAGTGGAATGGCTCGTTCGGATGTTCAAAGAGATGATCGCGAAGTATGTGAACTTTCAGCATTCAGATTGGGCCATTATTTGCCGTCTCTTCAGTATGCATATGTCATAGGGGTGTAGAGTTATGTTGGTGTTTCACCATATAAACTCCTATATAGTCATGATTCAATATTACTAATGGAGCTGGGTTTACCTTTGCAATTGCCACAAGTTGCTGATGCTAAGTCGTGGGATTAATATTTGACAAGTATTCTTCCACTTGTCCGAGCAGAGTTTGCCAAACACTTAGGCTGTGTACAAGTGGGACAACAACGGCACTACAACTCCCATCATTATCCACTTGCAAAGTACAAAATGGATGACTTGGTGTTAATGCATTTTCCCCATCTTACGGTACGTGGTTTATTTAAGGGGCTCCTTGCTTAGTGGAAACGACCGTATCAGGTGTTGCAACAAGTGGGACCACAAGTTTATGAGGTTCGGCATGATATGCAGCAAACCGATCCTCTAGAAATTGTGCATGTGCAGTGGTTGAAATGCTTCATACAAAGGGATCAAAAGCAATTAATACCACCAACAGATTTGCCAATACCTCCTTTTGATGTTCCTCCAAATCTTGGTCCATCTACAAGAGAACTTTGATGGTCTTTCATTATTTCAAGAGGAGGGAATGATGTGAGGGTCAAGTGTATGGCTATAATGTTGTATATTAATATTAGCATAATGGGATTTTGATAGCTGTCGGATTAGTTTCAATCTGGACCACTTACTCCTATATATAAGTTAGAGTTTTTGGGTTAATCAATGTGCATGTTTTTTGTATTCCCTTTCTATATTCCAAGCACAAGCTAGGGTTTTTGGGTTAATCAATGTGCACATTTTCTGTATTCCCTTTCTATATTCCAAGCACTCACAATATTTGATAAGTTGAAGAATTGTTTTGACATTTAATTCACATTTTTTAATTTTTTTCTTTGGGATATGTAATTTTTTTCATAATGAATTTTTTTTGGTATTTCTATTGAAATACTTTTAAAAATACAAAAGAATAACATGAACCACAAAGCAATCGCATTGACCTTGAGACGTCAGATTCTTTAAGTCTACCGACGGCTGCGATTGCTTTCCCTTGGAGACGACGATGAAATGTGGGAGGCGATAATGATCGTCGTCTCCGCACCAACGAGCAGCGGCAGCGGGAGATTTCTTCTCGACAATCCGATCGATGGCGGCAAGAGGAAGCTCAATCCGGCAGCAGCAGCAGTGGCCCCGTGGATGAATCCACGGTGCACGCGACTCTCCCTGGTCAGGAGGAAAGCAGCGATTAGGTCAAGAACGCCCGAGGAGAATGCGTCCGAGGATTGCGCCGAGCAATTGGATCGGCTGGACGCTAATCTGTGTAAGGATGTGGCTGCCACGGCCGCGAGCGCCGAGGATGCGCTGGAGATGATAATCTCTTCGCAAGACTCACAGGTAGCTGGTCGGGTTGTGAGCAATGAGGAATGCTGTGAGATTATCGTTGCGGCATTCTCTCATGGCAATGTGGATTTGGCCTTTTCTTTACTGGATGCGATGCGGAGTAAGAAACCTCGCATCCAAAGTGATCAAGGTCAGGTCAGTGTTCTTCTTTGTTTTATAACTTCTTCGTTCATCACTTGTCACGCTATGGTTTCTTTTTCATTAGTTGGTGAAGCGAAAGGAACATGGCAGTGGCCTCAACCCGATGTTTCTACTTATGCCACCGTGATCAAAGGTCTTGCTGCTTCTCTTCGTGTTTCGGATGCTATACAAGCGGTCTCCAACGTCCGACGTCGCGGAGTTCCTCCGGGTGATGAGGTATTTGTCATTTGATTGTCATTCCAGATTCACGAAACCGACCGGCTCGTTGTTTCAGGTTCCTTTCGGGAATGTTGTCAAGTGTCCCACTTGTAATGTAGCGATGGCGGTCGTGCAGCCGCAGTGTGGAATCCAGGTATGGGAATGGCTTATCGAAATCATTCTTCCTACTTTTCTTTTTTCTAGCTTGTGGCATGCTCCAAATGCCGATATCAATATGAACTCATGTCCGGTGATGTGACGAGCTGCGAGTCAGAGTCGATGAGGTGCTGAGCCTTGGACTTCAAGTTTTTGCCTTCATTTAACTTCGAACGTTCTGTTGGCAGTTCTAGTACTTCAGCTCTCGAGCGCGCACTTCGATTCCTGCAACTTATGAAGCGACCTGTCGCTTCAGCAGTCCATTCCTTTAACGTAAGTAGCTGCAATACAACAGTCATATGTCTAAGTTTCAGGCGTTAAATCAGGTAACTGCGCCTAACGGAGTAGCTCGAACTCACAGATTTGCAACTGAGAGCGCTGAAATCCCGGGGCAGTTAGGAGAAAGAGTTACCATCGCATCTGCAGCTCCAGCACGACAGGGGTTTCGTTTCATTTCTTTCGCGGCAAGAACACCGGGTTGGCAGCCGAGCGAACCCATGGCAGTAACAAACCACGATACGGGGCGTGAAACTAAACTCTTGAGAGCACCACCGAAGACCGGAGCTACTGCTGCTGCATTCAACACCTCCCTCGTTGTCCCTGCAGCACTTGTGCTGGCCAGCAGCAATGCTGCTACAGCTTTGATAGATCCGACGCTGCCTCGAGCAATCGTTATAGGTGCTAGCGCAGCGATTGTCTTTGGTGGTGCAGCGAACGCTTTTCTCCTGCCTAAGCTGAATCAGGTGAGCCCGATCTATCTCTTGCTTTTCTTTCTACTGATTGACTGCTTTGCTTCCAGATTCCTTCCAGGAGTGTTGATGCCATAGCCTTGAGGCAGGAGCTTTTGTCGCAGTACGAGATGCTACAATCACGCCTTCAACAGCTGACGGATGCATCCGTCCAGGAGGTTAGGAACAAAAATTCCAGTTTTAGTTTACCAAAGCAGCCGACGTGCAGGTGGTGCGATTGGCTCGAATGTGTCAGCTGGAAAATAAAATGGAGTCAGTCGGCCAGGACATGTACAGGTGAGAACGCTTCACTTTCTCTTATATTTTATGATTCTGAGCACGCACAATTGAAACTTAGTGCGAGGATCGATCGGGTGCGCAAAGCAAGAGAAGGAATTGATGAGCGCTTGCGTGCACAGCTCGAACTGATAGATAACTACGCCAAGGCAAGCGTAGTCATTTTTTTGTTTTGTTTTTTCTTCCTCGTGCTCACGTAATTCCTCCGTGTCAGATTGCAGCGATGATTGAGATCGAAGTGGAGATGGACATGGATGTTATTGCAGCCGAGACAGCAGGGGCCGTGGTAAAATCTCCTGTCCTCCTTTAATTCTTTCATTCTTTCCAGGTTTCACGTTGATGGAATGAATGGTGGCTTCTGGCAGGCGAGAATTGAAGAGCAAATTCAAGGGCTCATGGAGGTCGAGGAGCTCCAAAAGGTATGCTGGTTATTTGGATCATTCAACTCATCCCGCGTAGCAGAATTTAAATCTCCTGTTCTCGCAGAAATGGAAGATCCAAGCCGAGGCAGCAGACGAGGTGGAGAGGCTCCTTAGCTCGGCACCGACAATGTGAGAAGAAATAAAAGAGAAGGTTTTATACGTCACGAAGCTCTCTCGTCGTGGCACAAGAGAAAAAAAGTCCGCAAGAGCAACAAAGTTCCTGGGGAGCGAATTGATTTCTCTCAAAATGCTGGCAGTGGAACTTTAGATCGATCACTCTGTCGACGACGAAACAACCTCGACCTCGACCGTGGCCGGCTCCTTCGAATCGCTAGCAGCAGCAGTGGTGGATTTCCTGACAGAAGGGTGGTCGTCGACGCCCAATGCTCGCAGAGCCCAGGATTTGGGAGTGAGGATGTCCCAAATCGCGGGGCGCTCGGAGAGTGGGGGGTAGCGCGTCGGTCCCTTCCTCCTCCTGTCATAGCCCTTCTTCTTTGGGCGCGACTTGATGTGGTGGGCTGTGGCCTTCTTCTGCGGCCTGGACGAGCATTCGATGCCAATCGGGGCCACGCGGATCTGCGGGAAGCCCAGCGATGGGGATTGCCTCACCTGGAGCGGCTCTATGAGCGATTGTTTGAGCGCGAGGCGCGACGAGGACGAGACGAGGACCGCCATAGCCAACCAAGCGAAGAACCCTAATTAAAACCCAACGGATAGGATAAGATTCCAATTCTAATGGCATATTCTAGAATATGGTTAGCCTAAACAACAAACATCTAAGTTTTAATCTTAATTCATTTTAATGAGAAATCTTAGTGAACAAAATAAAATTTAAAAATTTAATTTTAACGTTTTAATTTTACATTTTTGCTAAGTGGAAAACGATGTGAAAAAGAGATGTTTGTTCTCCGTGAGGTTGCCAGGTTGCACCTTTGGAGCAAATGTTCTTTATACTCCCATTGAATTCTTAGGACATGACAAAATGCGATCCAAATAAGTATAATTTGATGATCTAACAAACTAATATCCCTATCAAACACTTGATCCGAGAGTTCTATGCTTTTCCCATTACGTGCCAATTGAATGCCCCTCTTTGAAACACATTGCATCTGAAATGTGCCGTTGTGACTTCATTGATTTATACATTGTGGAAAATGAAAGCATACGATACAAATACCCTCTCTTTTCTATCCTCGCGTGATTATAATATTTCCCTCTTCTCTCGTTCTCTCGTTTTTCATGCTATCACACTGTGACAACCCGCAGTGTGCAGCAGCACCGTCTTGACTTCCTCTGGGCCGACTTCTCCTTCCTTGGTTGCCTAGAGGAATCCAAAGTCCATCAGCAAAGAACAATATAGAAAAATCGATCAAAGGTGGTGCGATTCAAGCAAGCAAGGGGTGTGTTTTCAGCATACCTCGGCTCTGAAGATGTCAAACACGAAACCATTGAAGCAACTGATCACTGCTTGTTGAACGTCCAATCCGAGACCATCCAAAGCTTTCATCATCGACAGCAGTAATCCGGGCCTGGATCCGCAGAACATGTGTATGTTGAAATCCTTGCCCTTTTGCATCTTCACCTCGATCTACATCCATGGCACGTCCAAGTTAATCCGACAAATCTTCAAAGACTGAAAGAATCGCTCGGGAAATTCGAAACAAGAGCTTTGCGAATTCTGGAAGAATAGAGAGAGCTTTAGTTGGAAGAACTTTGAGAGCTTTGGGAAGAACCCCTAGAAAGTGGAAGATTTTTCAAGCAAATAACGAGAAAGAACTTTGGGAAGAAGAAGGTGGAATATATTTCGAGGAAATGTTTAAAACAAAGACAAAGATCTTCGAGAAGGCGGAAGAACTTTCAAGGGAATGTCGAAAGAAAAGAGGAAGAACCTTGGAAGAACTTCAAGAAAGGAAGAAACTCTAGTCTCACAGCGCTAAGTGCGCAAACTTCAAGAACTCGGAAGAACTTTGCAAGGATTTTAAAAGATTTTACCCGCGCTGGCTGCTCCGGCTCGGCGATGGGAGCTTGCGACGTGGATGACTCCTCTTTGATGAGCGGCCTTGCGGTGGAGGTGGGCGTCAATTCGGGCGGAGGGGGAAGAGAATGGGGAATTTGCTTCTCGGATTGCGCCGCTTCCAGCTCGTTGTGTAGATCGTTGATCTTATGGAGCAGCTCCTTCAAGTAATCGATGGCGTCGCCCAAAATGGAAGCTCTGTCCATCTGCGAATCAAAGCGCGATCGATGTTAGCACCCACATTCTTCCCATAAACCGTAGCAGACAAGAGAAAACCTTGGTGATCTTGGGCACCACCGATCGAAGCATGTAGAGGCGATCGTTGAGTTTCTTCCGCCGCCGCCTCTCCGCCAGCAAATTCTTGGCCGGCATTCCCTTCCTTGATCCACCGCCGCCGCCGCCCTTCTTGCCGGAATCAGGATTCTTCCCCAGCTCAACCACGCCGGATCCATCGCCGCTCTCCTGGTCGTGATCTTCGTCTTCGTCCAGGAATTCCTGCTCCCACTCCTCGATTCGCCGCTTGAGCAGCGCCGCGCTGCTAGGATTCTTGGCGTTCTTGGGCGGCGAGGCGAAAATATGCCCATACCTCTTCTCTCTCGCGATGTTGGGGCTCTCCAGATCGGGCGTGCTGGAGATTGCCGCTGGAGGAGGGATTTGTGACAGCGTCGACGATCGTGCGTGTGGCTCCCCGGCCCGGCGCAGTGCTCGCTTCTGGAAGAGCGTGGGGCGAGCCCCAGTTCTTGGCGGCGATGCCGATAGCGGCTTAAGAAGCGTGGTGGTGGAGGAATTGAGGTGCGGGGGGAGAAATCTCGGGCGGCCGCTGCTCGAATCGTGGATTTTGGCCGCATTCTTGGGAGAGATGATCGCCATGGCCACCGGATTGCTGCTACACGTCGCTGTTGGAGTTGTGGGGGTTTTGGCGAGTGGAATTCCAGGAATTCCAGCAGTGGCTGACGCTGGGATTCCTCCCAGGGGGCTGGAGGAGCACAGGAATCCTCCTCCCACTCCCCTGTTCTTGGCGGGGCTCGCGATCGCGGCTGGATTGCTGCTACTGACAATGTGGCCATTGTCGTCTAGCAGTATCGATCCATCGCTGTCGAGCACGATGGATGGCTGCCCAGAGGAATTCTCGAAAATGCTGCGACAGAGGAAGGATTGGAGCTGGAGGGCCTCGACGTTGAGAATTCCCGGGTGATGAATTGGCGGCGGTGGTGGCGGCGGTGGCGGTGGCGGTGGCGGCGTTGCGATAAACCAATCGCTGTCCGGGAATGCGGCATTGTGGTCGTCCTGAAAAGAACAATCTGTAAGGAAATTGCGAGAATTTGCGTGAAGAACACCTTGGAGAGGATGGGATCGAGCTCGTCATCCATGCCAAGAATCGCATTTCCAGGACTGCTGCCAAGTACACATAAACTTTGGGAAATCGTTGAGAAGATCATCAATTTCTACCTCAAATCTGAGGAACTGCCGTGAGGAATCCAAGGAGAGCTCGCATTCGCGAGAGAAATCATTCTGGAAAGCTCGCTCGCTCTAAATTCGCGACATCTCTCTCGAAGAACTTCACTGGAATTTGGGTTCTGTAGAAGACGATGGATCAAAAGCAGCCAAATTGGAACTCCCAACACCAACAAAAGCGTTTTGGCATTTTGCGTGGAAGATTTTATCCACCCACGAACGAACTCAGAGGAAGAAAAGGAACTTGTGCGCAGAGGTTTTGTGGGAAGGGCAAAATAATCGCAGAGGCAGCGAAGAACCCTAATAAGTTAGAGCACCTCCGAAACGGACATGCTCCTTTACTCGCCTGGAGCTTGGAAATTTAAAATGGGAACCAAAGAGCTTAGTTTGGCCTGTGGAAAACGGCAACTTGACAATTATGGGCGTGACGTGCAATGACGGGTGCTTACAAGCTTTAAAAATAGTATATATATATAAAATAGATTTGAACAAATAATAATAATAATATATGTTTTGGAGACTACAATGCAATGAATGTTAATAGAAATTTTTTCTGTCCTTTTAATCTTTAGTGTTCAATACTCAAATGGAGTGCTAATGTATGCTAAAAAAAATTCCTTATAATGATATTCTTATAATAATATTGATTAAACATACCATATCAACTTATCATTTTTTATAACATCATCATATTTTAAAGAGATCTATCCATATTTTTATTTCCTTATATTATCAATTAAGCTGTTATAAAAATTTATATTTTATATTCTCTTCTATATATTCTTGTATTCTAAAATATATAGACAATGTAAGGTTTGTAAATACGTGTGTGTGTGTATATACATACATACATACATACATACATATATATATAAAATTTAGGTATTAATATATATTAAAAATTTAAATAGATTATCAGTTTTAAGTTTTATCAGTCTTGAAATGTACCATATGCATAATATAGTATATAAATATTATAATAATTATAATTTTATAAATATTTTTTAAGTTTAAAGTGTTCACTATTTCATTTTTAGTTTTCTAAAATTTTTTAAAAATTTCTATATAAATACTCAAGATATAGAAATAGATATATTAATTAAAGTTTAGAACCCTACTTATATAAATTCAGTCTCAAATGGACAGTTTATATATTATAGTACTTTAATTAGCATATTACTTAAGCAAAGTAATACATCTATATACATATATGTATTTATAGACCTTATATTATCCTTCTAAAGAACCAATTCCCTGAGGTGTTGTAGGCTGAAGGATCCCCAAAAGCACGACCAAAATGATAAAGAGTTCATTGGATGAAACCGAGTTTAAAATCGAGTTTGAGATCGACTTTGAGACCAAATTCGAAATTGAGTTTGAGATTGAATTCAAGACCAACTCTGAGACTGAGTTTGAAACTAAATCTGAGACCGAGTTCAAGACTGAGTTCGAGATCCAAGATCGAATCTAAGATCGAGTCCAAGACAAAGTCCAAAGTCAAGTCCGAGATTGAGTTTAAGACCAAGTCCGAAGTTGAGTCCGAGGTCGAGTCCGAGATCGAGTTCAAAATCGAGTCTAAGATAGAGCTAAAATCAAGTCCAAGACTAATACAAGTCATAGAGTGAAATCCCAAAGTATATTGTCTCCCAATAGGGGGGGCGGGGGGTCCCAAAAGTATAGTAGGGATAGTGAGGTCCAAGAATTAGTTTTGAAGGAATTCTTTAGTGCTTCCAAATTGACTTAAGGTTGAGATTAGGGCTTAAGGGCCTTAGGTGGGAGTGAATATGGACTCATGTGGTTCTAAAAAAGCCACCTAAAGAGCAACTCCCACTCTTGGAAGGGAAATCAATTATAGTGCTCTTGGCTCATGTGGAGTGGTGCCCCACTTGAGTACCTTGCAGCTCATTGGTCTTCACCCTTCTTAGGGTCTAGGTCAAGGCTCCCACTTCTAATACCTCTTTTGGTAGTGTCGTCACTACAACTTAAAGCTCAAAGAAGCCTATAGTTAGGTCTCGCCTAACAATGATCACAAACTTCATATAAACTAACTTTAATGTTAAGAAGATATCATAGTACAACCCACAATATCCTCTTCAACACATCTATAAGTTAAATTTTAAAATGCCAAAGCTAATGAAAAATATTTCTGCATCAATTTAAAAGATAAGAATAATAAAGTTATGCTCAACAAGTGACCTTCAAATTGATCCTCCATAAATCCATTTATAGTAAGACATAACTCACTTTATAACAAGCACAAAAAGAATCATTAATAATCAATATAATTTCAACCCGAAGTAAATGTTGCACCCAAGACTTAAAATTTAGAGAGTCCTATGATCAAGTGTTATTATACCAAGGGATGTTAAGAACCTGGAGGTTTGGTGTGCTTGGTTGCTTGTGTCTGTAGGGAATGTAGCTTAACCTTAAATCTAGTTTAACCTAGGGAGAGGGATTGGGAGAGAATTTGGGAATTTGTGGATGGATGACTAATGTTCTATTGCTCATGCAATGAGTTGCCAAGACTAAATAAGATTAAGTAGGAGCTAATACAATAAGCAGGAACTTTGGTGAGAGAACTTAACTAAAGTTAAAGCCGTGGTAGTTGAATAGACAAAGTAAGTTAGTAAATTGGAAAGAAAAATTTATGGCTTACAATCCTCCTTTTCAGAAGACAAAAAAATAACGATAATAAGTTTGGTGGAACATTTAGAGCTTTTGCTAAGTGTTTATAAATTACTATAAGAATTTGATAGTCCTTTAGAACTAGTAGCATAATTGCTAATAACCATGACTAGCATAAATATATTTCAACTACAGAATCCTGATAAACCAATTATAACTTCATGTGCAACCAAATGCTTGAACCAACCTTGGAGTTTTAATTTCAAACCAAAGTAGAGGATTTCAAGCACCACTATAGCCCACAAAGCATTATTACAACAAACAACACATCATATTTCTAATTCAGTTTACTAACCATTCTCTAAACCATTGTTAATTTGGACTTATAACCATTAGTAAAATCTGCCTTTGCATCTTCTCCTTAGTCAACTATTGATACCTGTGTTAACTCAAACTTTCTTTATTTGTCTTTGTCCAACACTATACAAAGGAGGTTGGATTCACTTTATTTGTCCTTCACATTCTATTTATCCTTTCTTCAAATGAAAAAAGGTTTTGAAACATCAACTTCGTTCAAATTCATTATGCTCATCTTCACTCTACCATCTATATTCAGCTTCACTCCACTATTATATTCATTCAACCTCATTATATTGAAACTAAATATTTTATTTAGACTCAATATGCTCATCCTTATTCCACAATACATATTATTCATTTTCACTCCACTATTGTATCCATTCCTTTTCACTCCATCATCGAGGTTGGACTCCTTTCTATCCCCTTTACCCCCTCCTCTAAAGAAAAAAATATTTGAAGTGTCATGACAAAGAGGAGAAAATGAGCAAAATTGAAGAGAAATATTATAGAAAAATAAAAAGTGGATAAAAAATATTAGAATATAAACTCCTAAATTTATACTTCCTGGAAGGTCATTATTCAAACTTAAGGACATTTAACCCTAAGTATCCTAAGTAAAAAAGAAATGATCATCTCTTGAGTCATTCTTTTTTATTACTTACACAGAAGACAAAGTAAAAATAGGGAGAAATGTGCTTAAAGCAAGATAAAGGACTTGCTATAATAAAATATTTTCACCACTATAAAATAAGTAAGAGATTCACATCATTCAATCTCCTTAACATATAACTCAATATTTGAGATAGGAAAATTAACAGAAAAATTTATATTCTTAAGGGAACATAGTAATAATGATAAAACAAAGGCTTTTAGTGGCACTCATAAATAGGGATATATACTCAACTTAAAACTCTAGCCAAAGTGATTCAACTTTTGCAATAGGGGAATACTTAATATTATAATTGATAAAAAAATAAACAAAATTAACTTCACATACATGGTTAATATTTAAACTAATATAATGAGGACAGAAACACTCAACTCAATATTAAATTGAGAATAAAAATCATAAGAGTCACAAATGATTAATGTGTCAAGAGAAAAAAATGTTGTGGATGAGGAAGAAACACTAGGAATATAAGAAAGTAGCTCAAGCCGAGAAATAAGAAAATGTTAGGAAAGAGTAAAAGGTAAAGAGAAGGCATCAAATGACAAATTAAAAGATTGATACCTATGCTGTGAAATTTTAAATTCATATCTAAAGCTATTTCCATAATAATTAAGCTTCTCATCATAATTTGGAATCCACTTGAGTTCATAAACATTTTTTTACTATAAATTTAATCCTTAAACATTCTCTTAAACCTCCATAACTCTCTAATCAATGTTATAATTATGCTCTATATCAGTTAAAGCTGATAGAACATCAAGAATAAAAAAAATCATGTAATCATATCCCATAAAAGTTAAAAACAACAACATACCAAGAACAGGCACAACACTCATATAATCACCAATACACTCTATACACCAAAAACTCAATTTAACAGAGCAACATTAACAACCTCAAATGATATATTCCTTGATTGATGACAATATAGCATAGAGGAAAGAAATGCAATGAAACTCAAAAGGAAAAGCAAACCTAAGCATAGTGGTAATTGGAATTTTAATTTTGGCAAAAAGCTAATACAAATCTAAACCTAAAAGAGAACAAAGGAATTAAAATAAAAACACAATCCTAAACACTAATAACAAAGCATTGCCATAAAGTTTTGTCCTCTAGGGATAAATTGTAGTGCCTTTCAATTCCACAAATGTGAGTGCTCAAGATAAAGGAATAGTATATTAATTGGGGTTTATACCCCTTTATATGCAATAAATTGCGTAACAACACTTGGTTTGTTTAATAATAGTCTTATTATTACTTATTAATCCAATTGATCAAATAAAGTTTATAATTATAAGCATGTTCGTAATTTATAAACACAAAATTAATCTTATTGCATATCAACCATTAGATGATAGAATCAAAAAGAATATACTAGAAAGGGTTTAAGAAAGTTTATAAATTATAAACATGTTTATAAATTATAAATACAAAATTAATCTAAATGAACAATAACTGTTAGATGGTAGAATATCCTAGAATATCCAAGCATATTCTAGATATATCCACTACCATCCCTATATATATAGTTTCATAGTTATTATTGCATATTTTTATATTATTAAAAACACAAGTAAATTAGTTTTAATAGTTAATAAAAAATTAAAATTATTTTTATACATTTAGTAAATAATGAGAATTTTATTTTTTTTAAAAAATTTATTAAAATATTCTAAACTAGCTGGAAAATGCTAGATGTGAAAATAAATTTTGATCTTTTTTTCCTTTAATAGACAAGATATTTCACCAGTCATATTTACAGAAATTGGTCATCTTCATGAGTATGAATTTTTATTAATGAATATTTTCGTAATTTATAATTTAATTTAATTTCTAAAAAATAAAGTTTTTAACTTTCAAAGTTAACATTGAATCTCTATGTTAACTTAAAAATAGCCACGTTTATTATGTAAATCTCATAAATAACATTTATATCTTTGAATAGTAAAACATTTTAAAAATTAAATAAGCTACAAAACTATAGCTCCTTTTAGAAATTTAATTTAGTTTCTTTTATAACTTATATATTTTCCTTATCTCTTGAATTTTTTAATTTATTATTTTGGGCTAATTAATATATATTATTTTAATTTCATATACTTTTATGTTGACTATACCATATGAATATAACACTAAGTTTAATAAATATCCACATACCGAACTTATTTATAAAAATGATGAACTGAATTGAACATTGAAAAACCTTAGTATATATGAGGGATTGTGTAATTTATTTCTCAATTAGTAAATTAACTATTAAATATTATTAATAAAATAATACTTATTATAGATTGGAAGCATGTGAGTAATATTATAGCACAAAGAAATGTGACATTATTAACTTTGTTCCACTGCTTTAGCCACTCCATTTGTGTCACTGGTAGGATGCAAGCTAACTGCATGCTTAATTAGCATCTACAATGGCTTGTAATAGCTTCATGGTGAAGAAAGATGCTGTTTTAGTCAATGGGAAGTTGTGAAGCAGGCAATTATATTCACTTGCCATAAATATCAACTGAACTTGATGGTGCTCATTCAAAGTTAAATACATTCGGATCTCTACAGCAGGACATGAACAAATAGTTGACAAGAGAACTACCAAAGGTAAAGTTAAGCTAAGAACACGTATCTTAGTTTAAACTCAACTAATCAGAACCTCACAAGAGAAAACTTGAACTACTTACTTTTTTTATGTCATGAGAAGTAGAAATATTTCATCAACATGGAAATTCCACCTTTCAGATGCTATGAGTTTTTTATAACATCCACTACAAACCTGCCAAGTTTTATCAAAACTGGAAGCTTGAATCCACCTAATGGTACCTTTAAACTATAGGCTAAAACAGATTTGAAGGCAAAGTTAAGTGCTAGTACTAATTTAAAATTTAACATGATCTAGCTATCCTGTGTGCTCCACTCAAGCACAGCCACGTGTAGCAGCAAAGATTACCATTCATCCATCATCCTATCTCCTTGCTCTGTTTCTGGGGCTCTTCTCCACCAACATCCATCTACCATGGCTGCAGCATCGTCCGTCGCCCTCTCCAGCTTGAAGAACCCCGCCATGGATGTCTCCTCGCGCTCCACATTCTCGGGTTTGGCATTGCCCCCTCGAGGCAGCAGCGGCAGCGCCAAGAGATCCAAGTCTCTCCTCGTCCAAGCTTCCTCCACCTCGGGTGAGCAGCAGGCGGCCAGATCCAATGCTGGTAGAATGGCGGCTGCGCTGGCGGCGGCGGCGATCATCGGCAGCGCTCCAATCGTGGCGGCGCCGCCCGAGGCAGCAGCGGATGTAGCCGGCCTCACCAAGTGCAAGGATTCCGCGGCCTTTGCTAAGCGCGAGAAGAAGGAGATCAAGAAGCTCCAGTCGCGGCTCAAGCTCTACGCCGACGATAGCGCGCCGGCGCTGGCGATCAATGCCACGATCGAGAAGACCAAGCGGCGATTCAAGTTCTATGGCGATGCTGGGCTCTTGTGTGGCGCGGATGGATTGCCCCATCTCATCGTCGATGGCGATCAGCAGCACCTGGGCGAGTTCGTCTATCCGGGGCTCATCTTCCTCTACATCGCGGGATGGATTGGATGGGTTGGGCGGAGCTACTTGATCGCTGTCAGCACTGAGGCCAAGCCCACGCAAAAGGAGATCATCATCGATGTGCCGCTGGCGACGAGCTTGATATGGAAGGGATTTGTGTGGCCGCTGGCTGCCGTGAGCGAATTCAGGAATGGGAAGCTAGTGGTGGACGCTGGCAACATCACCGTCTCTCCCAGGTAGACGAGGATCACAGACAGCTGCGCGAAAGAAGAAGATCCAAGAACACCGTGTAATTTGTGTAATGAGAGATGGTTTCTAAAATCTCAGCTATCGCGTTGATCGATTCGTGCTCGATTCATTCGCGCTCGATTGGATCACAGGAAATATTTCGCAAAGATTCTATTTTCCCCCAAATTCATACTTTTAGGGTTCTAGAGGAAATTTTTAGGGTTCTAGGGGAAGCTATGGCGCGCGCGCTCGATGTTTGCCCTGCCAGATGCGTGGCGTCAGGTATTCTCGATTATCTCGCTTCCAGCAGCTCATTCCTGTCCAGCAGCTGGTGCGGTGCCAACGAACTCTAGCAAGCCACGCCTGGCGCTCGTCCGTGGAGTTCCACACACTTTCTCCAGCTGCATTACAATGGAGAAGTCTGAGGCGGCGATCGATGTGGAGCTCGCGAGAAAGCAGCATTCGGATTACGTGAACATCCTGAGAGGTTCTCTTGTCCCTCGTTTTCTTTCTCGATCGAGCTTCCATTTTCTCACATTTCGTGTTTTCCAGTCCAGAGCTCGTCGATCACGTCGTGGAGCTCTCACCGATGGACGAATTCCCCGACTGCCCTTTCATCGAGGACACCGCGGTCGTGATTGGATCCAAAGCTCTCATCACTCGTCCTGTGAGTTATCTATCGTATCTATCACAGATAGTCAGTGAACTCACAATAACAGGGAGCAAGTTTGAGGCGTGGAGAAGTCGAAGCAGTGGAGGCAGAGCTTAGAAATCTTGGATTCGAGATTCACAACGTCGAGCCTCCCGGTACCATTGATGGTGGCGATGTTCTCTACGTCCAAAACACCCTCTTTGTTGGAAAGAGCATGTAAGGCACCTCTCTATAGGTGAACTCAGTACTCACTCTTTTACATCTCCTTGATTAGGAGGACAAACTCGAGAGGAATCGAGGCACTGGCACGGGCCTTCTCTCCAATACCTGTTGTTCCAATCGACGTTGCTGAAACCTTGCACTTAAAATCAGGTACTGGTATTCTTTCTGTTTTCTAAAGTCTCTTGCTGCTTTGCTGGCTTGCAGTCTTGTCTCCGCTTGGCCGGAACTCTTTTCTGGCCGAGGAGACCTTCCACGCCAAACAGATGCTCGAGCTGATCCGAAAGGCTTCCATGGATTCGTGCGACTGCGTCTTTACTCCACACCAAGGTGCGGCAAATCTCCTTTGGGTGGGAAACACGCTTGTCTATCCGTCTGCTTATCCTTGCGGAAGCGATCTGGCCGAGTTGTACGCAAACTCTGCCGAGCGCGTCATTCCAGCCAACATTTCAGAGTTCCACAAAGGTGATGGAGGTTTGACATGCCTCTCCATTGTCATTGACTGATCTGAAACTTCTTTTAAAACTCATTGGTTACAAGTCAAGAGGATCGCAAAGTTTTCGGGTGGGCTTTGAGACAAACTGGGACTCCCAATAGTGAGTTGTAGATGGTCAGCATTCTCTTCCGCAGATTCAAAGAGGTTGATTCTACCTTCTTCGAGGAGATCCACATTCCCCCGCTTTTGGGCGACCACACTCCCTGGAACGCAATCACATAAGCTGGATGGAAAAGAGCTTTCTCCCACCTGGAATGCTGCTGCCACAGAGGCAGTTTGCTTCTTAGAAAACTAACCTGTGAATCAAGCTTGCAATCTCATGATTCCTTTTGCAAGAGCAGAGTCCATAGCTTTGTTTTATGGTGTTGATCAGATCAGGTCATGCAAATTTCACATGAAAAGAGTGACAAACGTTAAATGAGCCACCAAGAGGAAAGAAATTTTATCACCTACAACTCCATAACTTGACAAGATCCACATTGGAGGTTGCATTTGGATTTGAAACAATCACTTCAGCTCCGTAGGAAAAAACTACCAATTAAAATGTAGACAGAAATGTTATACTTTCTTCATAACATTTCTTCTCTGCCTTCCAGATGGCATGCTTGAGAAGTGACTCACCACATTGGGGAGGAGTAAAATGAAGAAATATTTGTAGTTTTACTTTTTTATTACCTCCACAGACAAATAGCGTGCTTTTCCAATTTAATTAGACCATAAATCACATGAATATTCTAAGAGTATTCAATGTTCTAAGGGCTGACTTGAGTGGATGAGGAATATACAATGATGACCACCAAGGCAAGTATGGGTAATTATAAGTTTTTAGTGATGCCAATTTGGTTTGACAAATATTTTTATAAATTTTAGAAGTTGATAAATCAAGTTTTATAACTTTACTTAGAGAAGTTTGCAATTGATTGTTTTGATGATATTTTAGTAGCTTTATGGAGGAATATGAGATGTGAGTTTTGGAACTTTTGACAGACAACAAGTTCTATTTGAAGTTAATTTGTTTTAGAGGATATTAAATATCTAAAACATTTGATTTGATTATATAGTGTGAGATCATAATTGACTGATTTATGCTTTCAATAATGTATAATCTTTGTAATTTCCTTGGTATGGCTAGATTTTTTTAACAGTTTATAAAAGACTTCCTAGAGATAGCTATTCTCTTGAATGATTTTCTCTAAAGCACATTAAAGTATATTACTATTCATGGTTGGGATGAGAAGTGTTAAATGTTTTTTCAACAATTGAAATAATGTTGCTTTAGTGTTGAGGATTCTTTTTATTCTAAGAAGTGTTTTATGGTTTAGATAGATATAAATGACATGCTATATATTGGATCCATTTTGCTTCAAGTTGGGCATCCTTTGGCATATATAAACCACAACTTTAACATTATTTATATAAGACATGATTGTTATTGTGAAGGAATGATAACATAGATCAAACTTTCATATAAATTCAAACTATCAATCTCTCCAATATTTTAGTGGTCAAAAGGCCACTTTGCTTATTGGTAAAAGTTCCTACAAAAATTATCTATTAAGATTCGGTATAAATATGAAGGTGGTAATATGATGGCTAATGGATTATCTAAGATAGTGAATTTTATCTCATTTGTGAAGTTATATAGTGATTTCTTGGATGAGCTTAAAGAGTTTCCTGACTTTAACTCCTTTATCACCAATATTTACATAAAGGTTTTTTCAAAAGACACCTTTACACATTTAAAGGGTGGCAAGTTTATATATTTAAGATATGACAAAGAATCCTAATGAAGAAAGAACATATAATGGTGTTTTGTATTGACAAACTCATCAAATGGATCTTGGTTGCGGATGGCTAAATACCATGACTTATATCTTATAAAATTCATAGATAAACTAGTAGTGCAATAGAAGGTCATGAGCAAGTCTAACTAGCATTAGAGGCTTTGTTAAGTTGTGGAAAACAAGAGCAAATCATCTGCATATAGGAGGAGGTATAAGTAGAGATTAGCTATGAGAATGTCAAAAAGATCTTCATTGTGAAGAAGTGTTTCTAATGCATCAATATACAATCCAAATAACATGGGGGATAAGGACACCCTTGCTTGGACACCTATTGTGCATTCCATTTGTGACTTCTTGGATATTCTACAAAAGTTGTTGCATAGAGCTGTTGAATAGCATATACAAGCTCTAGTGTAATATTTAACTCCCAAAGTCATTGAAATAATTCCTTTTGTGGGACTATGTCAAATGCTTTGCAAAAGTCCACAAAGCAACAAAACAATTGGTATATCATTGTATACACAATTTATAGCATAGATGATCTACAGTAGCTCATTTGGAGTTAGTCTCACTCCAAGAGACTCGATGACCCTCTAAAATGGTTGTAAATAACTTGGAGAAGATAGAGCTCACCGTAATAGTTTAGTAATTTTTTGGGATCATGGGATCTCCAAATTTGTAGATAGGAACCACACAATTCATTGTTTATACCCTAGGAAAACCTTCATTTACTGATGGTTCAAAGATTGGGTGGAATATGTATGCAAGGAACTCCTTGTCATATACTTGGAGTAATTCATCTATGAGACCCTAGGCATTTAAGGCTTTTCATTTGTGAAGGCGATCAATAGTAGCAAGACTATTATCTTCATTGAATTGGATTGGGGCTTGTGATTGGGAAGTGATTAAGTCTCTTATCTGCTAAGTGTAGAGCTGTCTAAGGTAGTTCACCCAAATCTTGGTGTTGTTAAGAAGGATGGGTTTTATAGGCTTTTTGAAAATTTTGAAAGCTTTATGAGGTGCCATTCAAAGTTGCTATACATTTTCTAAATTCTTTCTAAGCAAGCTTTCTAATTGCCATATGGTCTAGTATGGACAATTCCATACTTTAAACTCTCCATGGCATCACGGTTGCTAGCAACAACACCCTCGAGCCCCCACTTGATTTTCCACTCCCAACTAGCATAACCATCCTTGGTTATGCCTTTTGATTTCTATGGTTTGGTTCTATCCTCTTACTACTTGCTTTTGGCTTCACATCTTTTTTTTGGTCATTCTCCTCCAGATTAAGAGGATAGCTTTGCACTTTCTATCATGCCTTAGCAAGTATTCTTAGAGATGAACCTACCCAATAGCCTAGGGAGTGGTTTCTCAATCCAGGTATGCTCATCTTATAATCCCACACACCGGGATTAACGTTGTTACTCCATCTTAAAAAATATTCAAAGTTGTTAGCAATATTTTCCAGCTTTCCCGCTTTTCAATTGATATGCACTTGTTTCTATATAGGCTCGTGAGTGAGCTTCCATCCCACTACAATGGCAACATCTTTTTCAAGCTACCAGATTTTATCAACAATATTAGTTCCAAACAAAAAAGGAGTAGGATATCCACAACTAGTGTAAAATCAAGATTACACACTTCTAACATTTCAAAGGCACAATATGTATAGTTCACTATAGTAGGTATTTGGATTGTGTGGATGAAGTATGCAATTGAGATTATTGTAGAAATTCCATAATTTTTAAGGGTTTGCAACAATCTTTCTACCCATGATACCATTGCTGTTATATTTAAGTGTCGATTATGCAAAAATGCTCCTATATGTTATGCTATCTACAAGGCCAAAATGTACTACTTTTTTCCTCGGGATAGAATGGCTAAAAAAGCTATAATGCATATTAGCATATATGTATATCCAATGCAAGAAGGGATATAAAGGAGTTCTTTCAACCATTTTAAAAATGTTGTGTAGAAAAAGGTTGTGAAAAACTCATCTACAAACTCCAAAGTATATTCAAAAGACCATCTTTAAGGATTTTATCGCAATCACATTACTCAATCTGTATTAGCAAAAGACTTAACTAAACAAGGCTAACTTGCAGGACTTACTATGGCATGTATAACTTGTTACTAACTTAAGGAGATATGTCTGTTGTATTTTATATGTTACAATAATATCTTTTGTTCATATTATATTGTTTAAGATAAAATCTTGGATGTGTGAATCTTGAGAAGGGAAGTTGTGATAAAAAGTTGACTTCATTCTTGAACTAAAACAAACTTGTCTATATGAGTTCATCCACAAAAATTATTTCTAGACCAAGTTGTCAATAAGTAAAAGCACCCCATCGTTCCAAGATGTCTACAATGGACCCCACCTCTAGTGTAGATCTTGTCTCTCAAACAGATTGTAAGCGCTAAATTTTCCATTCTACTTTAGTCACTTAACCACACCTTTGACCATTTGAAGGATTCTTACTCATAACCTCCATAAGTTTTATTCCAGACTTAGGGCTTGCTACCTTTGAGAATGGCATTTATGCCACTCAACCTTTGCACTTGGTCCAAGTGCTCTACATGTCCGATCCCATGACCGACACCCAATGGTACCACTGACATATCAGCTCATTACACTAAGGCTATGTCCATTCATCTTTGCCACACTAGTGGTCCAACACCATTTGCATCACAGTCCCATCTCTCAAAAACTAAGTTGGCTATCCATGAGTGATCATCTCAAATCCACTCTTTAGCATCTTTAGGATGCTTACAAACATGAAGAACAACCTTCCCTAATATCCTTTTTTCAGTCCCCACCAAGTCCCTTTCTTTCCATGGTCATATTCACCAACACTGCCATTGGGTCAAGGCCCACCAGCCCGACCACTAAGTCCCACTATCCTTTGGGACTTCCTCACTATGTGATCGTATCTTTGGTCACTACATTAGAGGACTACCCCTCTTCTTTTCCATAATCTAGGACTTTTCGTGGCCCTATGTAAACATCATGGGTACTCTCCCCACCTTCCACCTTTGGGTGCTCTAGCCATGGGGCTAGAGTGAGGTTTTGTTGAGCCACACCAACTATCCAAGTAGGTAGTGCCACCTATGTTTGGACTGGGAGCATCGACCATTCGATCTCCCAGGGGAACTAAAGTTGACTTTTGAACACTTCACCAAACCACCCCATTTGTCTGTCTATATTCACTCTAGTGTAAGCTCCTAAGTTTGGACTTCCCGGGAGGTCACCCAGCCTAGTAC